AGTAATTAAAAATTAACAGGTTTTGATTTTATGTTCAGAAAGAAAATATATATTGTCATTGCGGCGGAATTGTAGTTCATGTGTCTGCATTATTATGACATAAACGATTTTTAGTTTAGAGAATGTATTACCAGAATCAGTTCGAATAGAAGTTAATGACAAAAACAGGCGTTTCTATTATGATCAATTTATATACCCCCACACTACATCGTCGCATCTTTTGACAACGTGAAATGATGTCTAGAAATAGCTCTTGAACTAAAACAGAATATAATTGTGGCCGTTGATAAAAATGAAGACCTATCAATTTTTCCAATCATAAATTCCGTAGTATTTTTACTAAATAATATAATTAATTTCATATATGCACCAACTCGAATAACATCTACAGTTACAAACAATATTTTTATTTTTGATTAAGGTATATTTGAAACACCAAAAGAAGAGATTGACCCTTTTTGAACATATCTGTATTTTCTAAAAATCGATTTTTATTAAAATAAACCATAGAAACGACGTGTTTTGAACTACAAACAAACTGGTTTTTCAAAACTTAATAATGTTATCCCTTTCACTGATTGGCCAGGTATAAAAAATGAAAATATAGATCAAGCTTGCGACTTTGCAATGTTTAAATCTTAGATTTTGCAAAACAGTGCATTTCTACATATATGACATTGATTTTAGTGCTGTAATTTCTCAATGGATTGAGATAAGATTAAATGACATTTGCTTTCTGGTTCAAAAAGTGAATCCACGTTTCATCACATGTTATCATTTGATTTAGAAAGTAATTGCCTTCTTCACGATACCTCCTGTCGAACTGCTGTTACATTTTTACCCTTACCCCCATCTGCTGCGGCGTCAACAAATGAGGCACCCATATTGCTGAAACACGGCGCATTTAAATATAACACTGATAATTTCCTGAGCTGTACCATGTGAACATGACGTCATTTACGGTTTTTGATTCTACCCTCCTGACTCTCCTCTATATAACCCATTTTTGTTTTGTATTTCTATACAGTCTTCAGCGAGATATTCTTCTCGTCGTGGGTTCTGGTGTCTCCAAAGCATGCTATGCTAATGAAGAAAATGTCACTAAACGGACTAAAAAAAAAGATTTTACAAAATCGCACACTACAAACCGATGCCTAACATTCAGACAAATCCTGATTTAAACATTAAATAAAATTTGGCTACAAACGAAGGAATCGCTGCTCAAAATTTCATTTGAGCTCCATGTGTGTCGAGGCGATCAATATGTGCATAAAATTTAACATCAGCAACATAATTACGTATCACTTTCATAAATCAGTCTTTAAATATTCCTTTGTGTATCATTCTGTAATAAAAACAATTTTCCGAAAAAGACACATTTTTACGAGACGAGCTTGAATAACATAGTATTTACATTTGTATATAGAAAGAAATCAAAGACATTTTGCATACGAAAAGTATTGAACATACGTAGATATGGTGGGAAGGCCTTGCTTATTTTAATTTATTGACGTCATATGTACTTCAAGCATTCCCTTTTTATGCCGTCATGCATAGATAAATTATTCACTCGACTGCATTGTCTGCTTAATAGGGGAGTAATGTGAAGCGTGTTTGAATTTGTTATGACGCTGTAAGAAAGTTTGTTATAAATTATTTGAAGATAATCAACTAAAGTTTGCATATTTATTTTTCACATCAAGGAACATAATATCTTCATGGCTCACTTCATACCCATAGTTGCAATTATTGGTCAATACATATTTGTAAATTATAGAAGCACTTTCATAATTCGTTTTTTTTTCTTTTGTTTCTTTTCAGGAAAAATAGGTCGTTTACTTGGAACGAAATGAAAAGGGAATAAAACTGAAAAAGAGGAAGTCGTCGAATATATCGCTGAGGATAATTCTTCAAATTATGATATTCTTAATGAGTTTCACAGTTAAAGATCCTTATATTATATGACATCCAAAGATATGCTTGTGTCACAGGTCTAAAGGAACTATTTCTCCAGTGATCCTGATTAAGAGAGAGCCCAAATCCAATACTCCATTGTAATAAAGCATGAAAATAACAACATTCCATAGGTTTAAATGCCGAATTGAAGCGGCGAGTGTCACACGGTAGTGAGATCTGGTCGCTTATATAGTACTCTCGAATAATTGTTATAAATTTCGACCACAAAACAAATAATGAGTAAACAGTACAACAAACATTTTTCTAAATGGTCAGAAGGAGAACGGGTTAAAAATAAGAAAATTCTCTAGACAACGTTAGACACGGGATTCTTTTCTACATTAATGCTCATTCCGCGAGAGTTATGCCATCCAGTTATGACAGTGGTGACGAAAGTGCGTAGCCACAAGATTGTAAAAGAATCAGACGAAGAAGATTTACATGATTTATTTAAAAACTTGGAAAGAAACGTTTCAATTTTCATTTATTTACGGGATACTTAGATCTACTTATTTGTCTCGTTTGACGAGTGAAGAAATGATATAGGAGACTTGTTTTAACAACATGTTGCGTAGTGTATACTTCAAAGCACGTCAAAAGAATTAATAATTTATATTTCCATTAGTTATCGTTGTATATATGACTATGCATTTGGTATAACACTTTTATATCTAAAGAAAGCGCGATCAATTTCAAGATATCAAACCAAACATGCAACATATATATTTCTTTTTCTTTTTGAAATCACAATAGGTTTTTACCTTTTATATCAAAAATATAAAAAGTTCTATGAAATATTGTTTTCGATATCTTTATTTATTCACAGAATTCATATTTATTTTTCGCATTTTTATAGAGTTCAGAAATCTGAAATACTAATTTTGCAAAGAAATGTGTTCAGTTTATTTATTTTTTGTAGGTTGTCCATAAATTTTCATGTAATTGTCTTCTCATAATGTAATAAAGATATTTGTGCATCGCGAGTAAATATAGGAAACTTATCTTTGTCACCAAATGAGACTGTATGTAATTCAACTGACTAACGTATGACTTGGCACGCTTTAAGGATTAATTATAATTGAATTGATATCCTTTCATGATAAATGACGCAAATATATTACTGAATTTATACCAATGAACAAACTTAATTATATAAACGACTTTTATATGTTCATCTTCAGAGATTATATTTCTCTCGATTTTATCATATACTTATATAGGAAATATTGGGAAATATTGATGAAATAAAATGCGTATTTTAATCCGTATTTTCACTGTAAAAATTATATTTCACTGCAGTGAAACTAAATGATAAAAATAAGAAAGAAATAAATCAATTGTATAACTTTTTGGTAATCTAAATAAACAATATGTATTACAAAAAAACAAAACTTTTCCGTTCTAATCAGTTCTATGCTTCAAAATCAGTACTGTGAGTTTCTCCTGCAAAATGTCACAAGAAAACAATATGGAATTGGAAATTGAAATAGACAAAGATGCAGACGAGTTTTGGAAAATAAATATTTTCATTTGATTTAGGCAGCAATGGACATACAACGGGATGATATGTCAGTTCAAGATAGTGAAGCATGAACAAAAAACTGACCAGAACATTAAATTGCTCCAGGATTAATCTCTGTGGGTTATAATAGGCCAACTCTTTAAGTCCTCCTAAGGAGTTATCTGCACATGTAAGTAACTTTATTTTATAACATTAAAAACAAGAGCTGTCGCAGAAGACAGCGAAGCTCGACTAATTAAATACTGGACACAGCAAGGAAGGCAAAACTATAAAAGAAAAATCAATTATATATAATTATGTATTAAATTATAGTAAAAAGATAACATTTGTCAACGTAACTTCCAGGTTCAAGGGGGAATAATTCAGAAATAGTCACGCTTGAGTTATGAAACTTGTCACACAAAATGTGTGTAATGATAAGAAATATAATTATATTTAAAGTTTGAAGTAGATACCTTAGAAAGTAAAGAAAGTATAATATTTTTTTTAAAAATCCTAAATGTAAAGAGAGATAAAAGTGAAAATATTGCTTCAAGAGCTATGAACATTGTCACATAATATGTAATTGACGATAAGGAATAAGTATTTGAAGTTTAAGGTAGATACCTTTAGAACTAAAGAATTTATAGTAAAATATAACATTTTTCAAGTAAAAGATCTAAAAATATCGGGAGATAATTTTTGCAATATTCGTGCTATAATTATGAAACTTGTCACATAAGATGTGGCTTATGGTAAGTAACATATATTTGAAGTATGAAGTTGATCCCTTAAGAAATAAAACAGTTATAGAGAAATATAGTTTACTGCTCCAAAACTTTAATCTGAAACGCGGACGCCGACGCCGGGGACAGCACTCCATATACATGTACTTCGTACGAGTATAGTCGAGCTAAAAAGGATGGCCAGGAATACAAGCCAAACTCTTTGATTTACAAGTTCAAGTGCATTCAGAGTTACATCAATGTGAATCAATATGGTTTTTCTCTAAACAGAGATCAAATTGTTCATTTTCGTAAAGTCACTCGTGAAATATTTATTTTCATACAACTCGATGACAATAAATCTAAAACCTCTTACCTTTGTACTCTTATGGTCCTCCGTGATCATTTAATCCAATGATAATAGTGTTGCGATTTAATACTACGAAAGCCTGTGCTATGGAGGTATTAAAGATGCTGCACCTTTAATATTATATTATGAAAAAAGGCATACAGAGTCTGCATTTTGTCACATTTGTACTAGCGTTGTCATTGCTATTGAGGAATTTACATTCTCCAAATTGTCATGAGACATTGTTTCTTGAGCATTATATCATAATTAAACATCACAAATATCACTGTAAAGGAAACGAATAAAGTCATGAAGTAAATGACAATGTAGCAACCACAGTTATAATGTAAACAGTATCAGTTTCTTTGGAAGAATTTACTTCTATTCATTGTATTACGAAACAGTGTATATTTATGCAAACAAAGCAATTCATAGGTCAAAAATGATTATATTATTTGGAAACTTACTGTATCTTAGACATTTGCTGGAATCATAAGCATCATACTCTTTAAATTCATTTGCTATAAATAATTCTTCATAAAATGTGACGTACTTTGTTTATTCTGTGTTTTCCTTCTTGTAATGTCAAACTCTTTAAAAAGATACAGACATTATACAAGCAGATGACTACTGTCACGTGATCAGAATCAGTTGTCACACCTTTGTAGATTTAGTATGATCATAAAGGTTGAAGTTCGCTAAAATTACTTATAATAATCCACGTCAACGGGATTTAAATTTTAAAAAAGGTGAGATATTTGTTTCTTACAATAATGAAGTCCACATAATAAAATTGAATAAAAATAAAAAAAAATAAAAAAGATACAGTAAAGAAATTATTTATCTGATTCCTTTTTGTATAATACATAATTATTTATACGTAAATTATTGAAAAAAAGTATAAATATATAAGGACAAAGTATTATCATATTAAGAATTGCAAGTAGTAAATTGTCATTAGTTACTTAGACCAAAAAAGAAGCGTATACTGTAACCCAATTTATATTCGCGAATACAAATGTTCGCGTTTTGCCGAGGTCTGTGACATATTCGCGAATATCAATTTCCGCGTTTTCTTGATTTCCGAAAAAATATTCGCGGATTGAAAAGTCCGATGGGGCCGCAAAATCCATTAGCCGACTATTAATCTTCAATAATTGAGGTCATTATTGGTGTCTTAAATGGGATTAACAATACCCTAGACTTATATTGTATTGGTAAGTGAATTGTGATCACATTTCAGCAAAATATTTTCTCTATATATGTACATGTACGCATCGTTCGTCTTCATTTCTAAACATGTCGTTAAAAGGGTGGTTGATAAAAAAATAAACCCTTCGAATGCAAGGATGTTTCGGTATCGTTTTTGCCTGATCATGATCTGGAAAGCACACCAGAAAAGAAAAGAAATGATTAAAGCGGTAAACAAAGCTGTATTTGAAATTTTATCACCAAAGAGTGGTGTAAAGCGTAAACGTGAAAGTTACGGTCATTATGATAGTGAACAGAGAGCAAAGATTGCCAAATATGCGTGTGAACATGGAAATGCAAGTGCGGTGCGACATTAAATTTTTTCGAAAGTTCTTGAGAGATCCATAAATGAGAGCACAGTCCGTTACATATATATTGACATAGAGTTATTCTGATATTTTTAAAATAGTAGTAGTTTACTTAGTTTATGTTTTTATTGCTTTATGGCAATATTCATAACAATTCATTACTTCCTAACAGGTGCCCGTAAAATTCGAATATATCTGGTCAAGTAGCTTTGCATGAACAACGTCTAAAATAAAAATTTATCTCCAATTTATTCGCAAAATCGTGCGGACTTATTCGCGCAAACTAATATTCGCGCTTCGTGGCCATCCGCGAATAAAGCGAATATTAATTGGTCGCGAATATTCGTTGGGTTACAGTATTGAGATTGTTTAACGTTTAGCAGCTAAATGTTAATTGAACAGAAAATAATAATAACATTTAAACAAACATATAAAATGAGAAACAAATACTTACAGGAAACATCTAGTATGTAAAACATGAGAGCAACAACACAATAGTGATGACGTCATTCTATGATTGTTCTAATAGGATCACACGTAAATGTACTCAGCCACAAAACAAAACAGAAATCATTATACAAATCAAATCGCTTACGTTTCTTATTTAGTATGAGGAAAATTTGATATAATATAGAGTTAACGCACGTTTTTCCGTGTTATAACGTTTGCAGAGTCCCGAAGAACCGTTGGTCCCCGAGCTCGGTAGGGCGAGGGCTCCAACAGTTCCGAGGGACTCTGCAGACTTTATAACACGAAATAAACTTGCGTTGACGCTATTATAGCATAAAATTTTAAAACAGATTCATGATGTATATTAAATACAAAACACATACATTAAATCCTTGTGTTGGACGGTATTTAATCAATTTTACATGTTTTACGTATGAGTTTTATTTTTCCGGGGGCAACAACTTTGGAAATACAAATGCTCAGGACCCAACGAAATATCGAATTTTAATTGATTAAACAAAGCTTAACATCGGAGATTTATAAACTTTAAAAAAACAACAACATTAAATTACTCTACCCAAGGCAGAACATGACTCCAGAAATTCCTAGAATGATTTCAGTTTGACGCAAGAAAACCGATCAGTGACATCAGAATCTTTTTTTTTTCGAGCACACAAGTTTATAAAAAATCAGACACTAAACATTATTCTCTCAAAGAAATATAAAGAGCATTTGTCAATGTTAACATAAATAAAACAACATTTTCTCATATTCATTTTGTGTTTTCTTGTTTTTTAAGTAAATCGGAGGGTTAAACTGAATGACAGATATTTGTTTACATTGACAACTGTCCGTTTCTTAGATAGGGCGACAACCAAGATTAGCGGCGATGTCTATACGCCGTGTTTCCGGCATAGTTACTTGAATGCTACTCGCCGCTTTGCGAGGCCCTCGAATCAATAATTTCAATATAACAAGAGGGCATGACTCTGGAAAGCAGGCCAAATCCTCATTTTTTGTTTGTTTAATGGGCGCATAGGTAAAACCGGGCTATAACAAGAGCGCGTGACTATGTAACACATGGTTTGGGTCCCGTTATAACATGGGCAAAAGAGGGAAAATAGCCGATTTTATGCTATAATGTTCAAAAAAATATTTATTTCTTATATATCGCAAAATTAATAAGGTGAGACAAGGCAGTCTGAAGGACCGCTAAATCCGCTTCCGCAGAGAACATGAATGTTTATTTTTTGACCTTAACCAAACCATGACCTTGATAGTTATAATTTGTGCCAAGCTATTCCAAATATTCCATACAGTCAAAACGTTATGGAGAACATTTAGATTTGACCTATGGGGAGAATCTCAATAATTGCGCTGTGCAGATCGTCTCATAATGGTGATCACTTGTACCGAGTAATTTCAAAAAGTTACCAGCAGTTTAATAGTTATGGAGCGGACATGGAATGTAGTCTTTTTCACTATTGACTTTTAAGTGTGATTTTGGGGGTAGCAACCCAAATATTGCTTTCTGCACATCGGCTAATAATTTTGTTCATTTGCAAAAGTTATTTAAAATAATGAGCGGTTTAAAAGTAATGGAACGGGCATGAAACAATTTTAACACTTGAAATTCAAGCGTGACCTTAACCTTGGGGGTAGCAACCAAATTATCGGGCTTTGCACATCGGTTCATAATGGTGATCACTTGTGCCAAGTTATTTACAAAAATTCTGTGGTTTAAAAGTTATGGAGCGGACATGAAAGTGCTATGGACAGATGAACGTCTGTTCTAACAGGAGAGTAATAATGTGGCTACTCTATTGTTCTCTCTATTGTTCTTTTAAGCCACACAAAAGAAAATAGCCACATAAAAGTATACCGCATGAATGACATCAAAGAGAAAAAAAAGTTACCTATTGTCCCTATAGCCACATAATTACTGTCCTGTCAGTGCGGACAGACAAACGGATGGACTGACATTCGGAGGCCATTTCTATAATCCCATTCCCGCTCTGCGTTGAAATGGAAGAACTGATGATTTTGATCTGTATGTGTAAAACTTTATATAGTTTGATATTATATATGAATCGTTTACACCTTGCAAAGCGTAAAATAAATGATATTGTATATAATCCCACCAAACCTTTAACCAGACACTTCGATGTCTATGCCTTGGCAATGAGCAGAACTTTCCTTTGGTTAATTGTCACAGAATGATTTGAGTTTATTTGATAATGGGCCGCTTTTTTAATTTTTTGCATGAACACGAAACTTTTGCTTTGGAAAACAATTGTAAAAACAAATTAATCTCTGCACATATCAAATAATATAGATTAAAAACCGCACTAAACAACAAGGGTATTAGTAATGCCTTGAACTGGCTAACTCGAACATTTCTGTTCATATGGAAGATCAAGCAACAGTAGAAGAGGTGCACATGTTATAACACTAAACGACTTTCATTTTACAATGGTGCACATGGAATCGTGTCTTTATTATCAAAGTTTTGCTGAAGACCACTTGATAACTGTAAGTCGTTTGAACCTGATTTTGAAATATTACTAGTTCATTTGTCACGTGATTCAACATAAAAAGAAGCTGCTCGTCTACAATCCAAGAATATCCCAGCGGCGTTGCAAACTTCACATCCGGCGAAGGGTATTAAGTATTTATTATCTAAAGTGGGAAGAACATGCATTAATAAATCACTTGAAACAAAATTGATGGACTTAAAAGCAATCAATACCTTTAAAACAATACTCTACTATACTTCCCTAAAGTGGGAAGAAAATGCATAAATAAATAACTTGAAACAAAATAGATGGACTTAAAAGCAATCAATACCTTTAAAACAATACGCTACTATACTTAAATGGACTTAGTTGTTGCATATCATATGAAATTCGTACGTTCATATCTGTTTTATTACAGCTTTTATATGGCTTATCAAATCTGCCATTAAATACGACTGGAATCGACATTTCTTCGGGTTGTTTACTTTTTCCCATAATTTGGCCATATCTTTTAAAAGAGCGCATTGGAACGCTTAATTCGTATTATCTTTACAAAAACATAAAGCCGATAATTAACAAGAGCGATCAGTAATCACATGTGTCGCCTCATAATGGCCAATTTCATGTTGGGACAAATTTTGTGACAGACGGACAGACAGACGGACAGTGCACAACAAGACTTGGTACTGATCATTCATGTAAAGTTTGGATAAAATTGCACCAGTAGCTTATGAGGAGTAGTCCGGATAAGCTTTTGCGTATCTGGCAACACACAGAAAAAAACACCTTTTTATCAAAGGGCCATAACTCGGCCAAAAATCATTCAACCGGAAAACCCGTGCAATATGCGCAAGGCCTTGAGCTACAGATCAACCCTGTAAAGTTTCATTGAAATTGCATTAGTGGTATAAGAGAAGTAGTCCGGACACACTTTAAGATTAAAAATTATTAAAGGGCCATAACTCTGACAAAAATCATTGAACCGGAAAATGCTGACAATATGCACAACTAGACTAGGTACTGATCATTCCTGTAAAGTTTGGATGAAATTGCACCAGTAGTTTATGAGGAGTAGTCCGGACAAGCTTTTGTGTATCTGGCAACACACAGAAAAAACACTTTTTTATCAAAGGGCCATAACTCGGCCAAAAATCATTCAACCGGAAAACCCGTGCAATATGCGCAAGGCCTTGGGCTACAGATCAATCCTGTAAAGTTTCATTGAAATTGCGTTAGTGGTATAAGAGAAGTAGTCCGAACAAACTTTAAAATTAAAAATTATTAAAGGGCCATAACTCTGACAAAAATCATTGAACCGGCAAATGCTGACAATATGCACAACTAGACTTGGTACTGATCTTTCTTGTAAAGTTTGGATGAAATTGCATCAGTGGTTTATGAGGAGTAGTCCGTACAAGCTTTTGTGTATCTGGCAACACACAGAAAAAAACACCTTTTTATCAAAGGGCCATAACTCGGCCAAAAATCATTCAACCGGAAAACCCGTGCATTATGCGCAAGGACTTGAGCTACAGATCAATCCTGAAAAGTTTCATTGAAATTGCATTAGTGGTATAAGAGAAGTAGTCCGGACAAACTTTAAAATTAAAAATTATTAAAGGGCCATAACTTTGACAAAAAATCATTGAACCGGAAAATGCTGACAATATGCACAACTAGACTTAGTACTGATCATTCCTGTAAAGTTTGGATGAAATTGCACCAGTAGTTTATGAGGAGTAGTCCGGACAAGCTTTTGTATATCTGGCAACACACAGAAAAAAACACCTTTTTATCAAAGGGCCATAACTCGGCCAAAAATCATTCAACCGACAAACCCTTGCAATATGCGCAAGGCCTTGAGCTACAGATTAATCCTGTAAAGTTTCATTGAAATTGCATTAGTGGTATAAGAGAAGTAGTCCGGACAAACTTTAAAATTAAAAATTATTAAAGGGCCATAACTCTGACAAAAATCATTGAACCGGAAAATGCTGACAATATGCACAACTAGACTTAGTACTGATCATTCCTGTAAAGTTTGGATGAAATTGCACCAGTAGTTTATGAGGAGTAGTCCGGACAAGCTTTTGTGTATCTGGCAACACACAGAAAAAAACACCTTTTTATCAAAGGGCCATAACTCGGCCAAAAATCATTCAACCGGAAAACCCGTGCAATATGCGCAAGGCCTTGAGCTACAGATTAATCCTGTAAAGTTTCATTGAAATTGCATTAGTGGTATAAGAGAAGTAGTCCGGACAAACTTTAAAATTAAAAATTATTAAAGGGCCATAACTCTGACAAAAATCATTGAACCGGAAAATGCTGACAATATGCACAACTAGACTTGGTACTGATCATTCCTGTAAAGTTTGGATGAAATTGCACCAGTAGTTTATGAGGGGTAGTCCGGATAAGTTTTGTGACGGACGGACGGACAGACGGACAGACAGACAGACGACGGAGAAGTGATCCCTATATGTCGCCACTACTCCGTAGAGGCGACACAAAAAAGACTAATTTGATTTTCATTTCTGAGTCAACCAACTTTTTTGTTGTTTGTTCTTTTCAGAATAATAATAAGCTTAAGATATGACGTCACGTCATATCCTCGAGTCCTTTTGAGGATTTCCTGAAACTCTTTTGTTTTAGAAAACAAATGGTTAATATATTCTAAAATTGATTATTAGGAAACAACAGTAAATATACTTCGATATTAACCTGGCAGTGGTTTGTTTTACGAAGACAAACTTGTTAGCCAATCAGAAAAAGCCATATTAAATCTATTTATAGATAATAGTAAAAATAATATTCATATTTTATTGTTACAAAATTACTTCTTAGCCAATAGAAAAGGGGGCATTTCAAAGCCGTTTAAAGATTATGTATAAAAATCTCTATATTCTGTTTGCTGATCTTTCAATGGGCAACAACTTTGAAAGGACATGACTATTCAGTTTTTAACAACAAAATCGAAAATTAACTCTGAATGTCCTATACAATTAAGTTCTTTATATTCGACATTTATATAGGTGTAAATATTTTACGCTTACCACGTGGTTTTTAATGTTTCTTTAGCCGAAGATCTCCTTCTATTTCTAAGCTGAATAGCTTTCTTTACCTGAAAAGAATATTTGAATAAATTTCACTATTGTACATTGTAGTCTTCTGCTGAGGTTTATAATACATTAAATAATATTAAATGCTGATTAGCCTGAATCATATGCTCGTATGCAAATGCCATTTTACACTCTATTTTATAGTGATCACAATATATTTCACTTACACGGTTAACGAATGCAATTACATACCTGTTTATTCAGGAGGCAATGAAATAAAAATATAAAAAATCCCTGAAAAAAGAAAAAAATATTATTTAGAATATAATTATCAATTTCATATCTTATAAGATCAAATTGTTTCTCAAATATAACTTTTTAAACAGCTATCCAAACATTTTTTAAATTCTGATATAAAGGTATGGTTTCGTGTTTTGACTCGAAATTACAAATGATATCACACTATAACATACTGACACTAACGTATACGGGCGTATCCGGAAAAGGGAGAAAAAAACTCGTACGCTTTTAATGTGTCATCCCAAATGCATTACTTTAGCTTTGAGGAGTATTCAAAGATATAAGAATTATTTTCCACTGCATAAAAACTGAGGTTGATTGGTTTCCACATTCGTTATTCATACGTTATCCAGAAGAATTTCATTTACAGCCTTCGACAATACTGATTCTTACGTTCTCATATATGTGTATAAATACTTTAAAATGTTCGAATAGGATGTATATGTTCCTCTTATTAGCTTAAGTTTGATAGTTATTTTCAAGGTTTTTGAATTTTAAGTTATCAGTACACATTTAGTGCTCGTCATCGTTATTTTGACTGTTAATAAAACCCACGTCTGAATTGCCTTTCGTGAATAACTTAAACATAGGATGCTACTGGCTGTGCGGTAATTTTGTTCCGTAAGTTCATGTTATTTCTCCTGTTTACTTTTCTTTATTTTTAAAGAATGTTCTTGACAATAAATAAGAGTTAATTGTAAAACATTTTAAAACTATAAATGGACACTAGTAGATTATGCCTGATAAAATAAAACAACTGAGAAAAGCGTTATTACAAATCGATGTTTAGGGTGTAAACTTACCTTTATTATACACATGAATATGTTCGTAATAATTAGATTAAAAGCGGATAATATCATATAAAATATGGTGTTGAGTAGAGTTTCTTCTTTTGCTTTATGGACAGGTCATAATTAAAGAATGAAAATGCGCATTTCTCTATCACCACATTATGTACCTGAAGTCCATTTAGAATTGCAAAAATATACTGAATGAAGTAAAAGCTATCATTCATGTAGAATATTCCTAGAATCCAAGACACTCCCAAAACAGGAACTAGCACACACAATGACCGGAAGCTTGTTCTGTATAGATAAAACAAAAGTTACTAATCAGACACGATAAAATCGGTATAATGTTATTATATAACTGTTAATAATATTAAAATTTTAAGAAGTTAGAATGTTACTTATAAGAGTCTCAGTTTACTCATTTGAAACACAAGAAATAAGCAACCATTTTAATGTTACTTGAACAGTAATTATACTATTAAAGTAAGATATATTCACTTAAGTGTGAAAGAGATGATCATCTGAACACGTCATATAACCTTATTTAACATAAAATGCAAACAAATTTTACAAGAAAGATAAAAATGAAAGATATAAGTGTTCATATAATTGAACTGATATTCAACATGTTCGATCTCTATGTTTTTTGAAAGATAAAATTTCCAATTAAAAAAAATGATTTGTTGCAGTTCTGTCTAATATTTACTTTATTTTTTCCAAAGCTGTCTTCGTCTCCATTGCTTTAGTTTTGAATATTTTGCGAATCACAATTAATAAGCATATTCCATTGAACTGAAATAAAAGCGAAAGCCCCTTCAATTTATTTGAAATAAAACAAACAAGGCACTCAAACTTTTCCTCACTAAAACAGTTGGCAAAATAATAATTCATTTTCAAACAAAATGACTTATTAAGGACATTGAAGCATAAACTAAACATTATAGAAATTTGTCCATAGGACACTTAAGTGCCTACCTTATTTGCTCTCAATGTGAATTATTTGCATATTTTTTGCATATGTTATAAAAGTCCAATGATTTCTCAATCCAATGACTGAGGACATTCTAGTTATTGACTTCAATGTATTTCATATGTTACACTTACCTTGATCTAATGATCTCAATGTCAATAGGTGTCTTCGTATGCCATGGGCAATGCAAATAAACTTTTAGAAATTGATAAAATAAGAAATGAACACAGATTTTGCCCGTGGTCTTAATCTTTATACTCTTTGACATCAAAATAAATAGATAACTATGTTCAAGTTCCTACTAAGTGTACACTACTAGGTTTAGAAAACTAAGCATTATTCCTTCTCAAGTAATAAAAAACAGGTATTGTACAAATCACCATGATCTTTAAATCAAAAAAGATTATCTACCATTCAAGATCATCCTCTGCAATAAATCTCTAGTCATTGCTCATATTCAACTGCGACCATGACTTATAAGGTTTGTCATTTATTAGTCATGACTAACCTTTAATTAAATAGTGTTCATTTTCAAGGCATAACCGACCTCTAAACAAAAGCTTTGGACTGTATTGATCACAACAACGGTGACCTTGACCTTTGTTATACTTTTAATCAATAGTGGGTATCTCCTTGTATTACCAAACTATCAAACTGATTCAAAATACTAAAAGCCATCTCTTGTTATTGGTCGGATAAACATTCAGTCGTCAAGGTAACGTAGACTGAACTTTGATTTATTGACCGACCTCAAAACCAATAGGGATCATCTTCTAGTCTTTACCTATCTCAGCACAAAATCGACTCCTTAACAAATTAAAGATATTGAAATAACGCCAAGATTTGTCAGGAACTTAAATATGTTATTTCTAAACGAATGTACATTGGACTCTGATCATACTTACAGTAATTATAAATAATGCAGGCCCAACGAAGGACCAAATCAAGCCATTGTCAACAGAGAGCCAGCAACTAAAATAAATGAATAAATAATGCGTTGCAAATATGTTAAAATCAACAAAAATCTTATATTAATAATCTTATAATAATACAATATTTGCCTAAAAAGTATTGAAATCAATCTTTGATAAGAAGCCTGAAATGAAAACACAATTGATTTATCAAGTATTTATCAAGAACGTGCAAAGTCTTGTTTTAAATTGTTTTAAATCAAAGTAAATTCTTACAAATTGTCGTTGCCGTAGCCTTCAGCTTGTATAGCACCGAGAGAAATGCCAACAATAATGGCAGGTATCACTGAAAACATAAATAATTAAACGTGCAATAGAAACCCCTGTCGAAAATATTTAAACAGCAAAATTTTAGATGTTTACCTTCGGCAAAACTGATATAAGGTAAAAAAATTATGATTGGGTTTCTAAAGATTAACAAAAAAAAATCATTTGCAAGAAAAGTTCAGGAATTACATTTTGTTGCTCATTATGCAATGGAAATGTTAAGTTTGCATAAGAACTGTATACAGATTTCATTACATACACACTTTATGTATTTTCATGGGTTTTCATTATGCACACTCGTCGTTTGATGAGTAGAAATATCTGTGTCGGGAGTTTTATTAAATGAAAATTACATCTGGTGGAACTTCATTTTACCAGAAACAGAAAAACTCATTCCTGTCATTTAAACACAATTCAAAATAACCAAACATACTATAAATGTTTCGAATAAAAATGCATTTACGTTTTTGTTGTTTTTTTTATGGAAAAGAGTGTAACAAAGGTGTACATGTAACAGAGAAATATACCTAATTAAAAGTAGGTGAAATTTCTTCAAATATTAATGATTTACAAAGACAACACGCGATACATTTATCTAAGTATCACTTAACGAATCATATTGATCAATTTTCAAACGGGTTAAAATGAATTTTGAAGCAACCATGTTTCTATATCCTAAAATTGCGTATAAAATAGTTTATCAATGTTACCGCGGGTTGCCAGTAACAAAGTGTAACTTATTAACATTAAACTTGTAAATGCCTGACATGCATTAATGTTATAGCATAATGAATCATGTATAAAAAAATCTTGAAGTTTGAACATCAAAGTTCCATTGGTTGTCCAGTTATTGATAGGAAACTATTTTGACAGACAAGGTCAATCCGTTTTCACTTTCTAGGTTAATATGACATTGATCTTTGATCCCTTTACCCCGAAATCAATAGGGGCCATATATTTGCCAAGGAAAATGCACCTACGAAAGTTAAGGGCAAACAACCAATGGGTATCCAAGTAATTGATCAGAAACCGTTTATTCCTACAAAGTTTATATGACCTTGACATTTGACCCAAAAATCAATAGGATCATCTACTTGGCAATTTGACCTTGATCTTTAATCCCTTGACCCCAAAATCAATAGGGGTCATTAACTTGCAAAGACCAATGCACCTACAAAGTTAGAGGGCCAAGGGCACATGGGTTGTCAAAATATTGATTGGAAAACGTTTTACCTTCAAGGTCAATATGACATTGACCTTTGATCCCTTGACCCCAAAATCAATAGGGGTCATAACTACTCCCCATACTCAGTTTGAAGTTCCTAGGCTTAAGCGTTCTTTAGTTATTGATCGAAAACTATTTGGTCTACGGACCGATGGACCGACCGATCGATCGACAGACAAACGCAAAGCAATATACCCCTACTTTTTTGAATGGGGGCATAATAATGAGAAGGTTTTAGTTATATTAGTTTTATATTGAATTGAACGTCTTTATTGAAAATGATTACAGATATTTAATTATCAACAAGGATTAAATCAAAATCAAAAGTTTAATTCGGAATTACCCCAAGCAAATATTAGCATGATTTTAATTCTTGGCTTTGTTTTGAACACATACAGTACAATGATTGCTATATCAATGCCTTCCACCAGCATAATGCAGAACACAACCAAATACATATACTGTAACACAGCAGCAATAACAGAACATGCGACCTGCAAGCAAATAACTCTTTTAAACATGTATAAAAAAAACACTGACATCGAAAAAGTTTTGATACAGTTTCACGCCTCCAGATTATTTTACAAATTAAAAAATAGTACACTGAAATGACATATCCATGATTTCTGACAAACTTTACATTCATATTCTTATCACCATATTTGTTGTCCCCTTACTACAAGAGTATAAGCTGTGTTTGCAATTTTACCTTTTAAAGTCATTTTGTTGATATTAGGTTAATTCACTTTATTTGTACACTTAACAACATACACACAATTAAGATTTTTTTTCTATTTTTTATTGATATGAAAAAACTAAAATACATCTGGAGACATATTGCTTTATATAATAAATAACCATGCAAAAGATAAAAAGCAGTATGTACATGCAAAATCAATATTCTATATTTAAATGAAAATAAAAAAATCAATATCACAAGAATGAGACAATAGAATTATTTCTTGATATGTTGTTATGTCCAACATTGTAAATTAAAAAAAATGTATAGATATCTAAGTTCGATAAGCTAATAAACAGGCTAATTGTATGTTTGCAAGAACAAATACATTGCAAAGATTTAGGAAAACTGTTATCGTACTATTAGATACAATATCTTTTACTTTAAACTTTTAAACTTTAAAGCATGACTAATTTGCATGCCTACAAAGTATTAATTAAAGATTTCCCGAAAACAGAGCTAGAGATATGTATAACCTAATAATGGTGACTGTGTTCCATGAGCATTTTCCTTGTGGTACATAAGATCTGTGCTATCATTAATGTGCCTTTAAGTAACATTGAGTAATTGGTTATCGAGATTTAACAAGTATATTTCAATTGATAGATCCTTTCTCTAACCTTTCATTTGAATAACAATAGATTTATCCACAAACATTTTCATGTTTCCTTTTGTTAACATTGTTGGGAAATTCCAATTGTATCCACTTATCTGATAATTAGAACTGGACTGGTCAGGAAGCTATGCATAAAAAATGCTCGCTAAAGAAAAGTTCTTTCTTACACTACTAGATAATGAAGGCTTTTCAAAGTAAATTCAAATATATATCCTATTTAAATGTAACTTCTTACAATACTTTCGGTTCTGTCGACTCCCGCCAAAAACATAATGTAGGAAAGTAAAAGGGCTACACACAAATTCATCAAGGCAGTGGTGCGATCATTCCGTAAGTACCTTTGGTTCAATAGAAATTGAAAATATTTCATTGAAATGCATGAATGTTAGTTGTATTTACTTATTTTATCGACTTCAAACAAACCAAATATAGCATATGTTTATAATGTTATAGAATACTTACGAATTTTCCGACTGGTCAGAAGTGTATGTTAAAAAAATGCCGTTTTACTATACATTTTATTTCGTTATAACCTAGTTATCGTTAAAGCATACTGAATATTCACGACACTTCTAAAATCAAAACAATTACAAATGTATGTTCTTTATTAAGGGATGTACCTAACTTTCTTTAACAGTCTTAATTACTTAAACTTTTACACAATAGTTATACATGCATGAATACACACATCACAAATCGAAACAATTCAAACATTAAATATAAAACAATCAATGTCTAAGTCTTAGATTTTGAAACATCAACATCTAGTAAAAATAAAATCTTACTTCCAAAACAATATGTGAACGATAAGGGTAACTGCTAAACAAGCTATTGAGATCCCGATGCCAGTCATAGAAATTATTCTGAGTGCTTTGGATGCTGCATCTGCCTGGAAACGTAGAACTTAATGTGTTATATAATCCATTGCTACAGTACATTCCATGATCGTATTTTTCAGTAATCAAAAATAATCAAAGCACATTAATACTAAAACAGAGTTTTATAGTGTGCCCTACCTAATAATTGAGTAATGTCTTAAATTAAAATAAGAACTGTGAAACTTTCTAATTAATGGTTGATGTGTATAAATCTTTTATTGTTTATTCACCAAATATTGTGTACATGTATTCTAACTGGTTTAAACCTTTGATTATTATCAAGAGACAAAATTAAATGAAATGAATATAAGTGCATATTAAAAGGTTTAGATATTATAATACACAAAAACATACCTCAACAAAAGGGCTCATCAAAACAGCAAAGTTGGTCAGATGGTCACACTCGCAAATTGTGTAGTTAGTGTGTGTAGTTTTTACAACACACCCCTCTGAAGACCAAACGCCTTGTCCAATGTTACCGCTTTTGAAATATAAACATTATGATATCAGAAAAGAGGACGTCATTTTCTAAACATAATTTGCAGAGTTCAGTCATAAAAGGAAAGCATAAAACATATTAAAAGATATAATTTATTTTACGTTAAACTTGTCAATTTCTAATTTAGAGAATAACAAAAATAAATTTGTATCACCTTAACTCCTGATTGAAGTACTTAATATTATTCGTTGATCTACTAATATGTTATATTTTATACATTCGTATCAAAGGTCAACTTACTTCGGAAATGCCCAATACGAGCACAATGGATTGGAGAAGTTATTCTGAAATATTAAAGAGCATCTTTTTCAAATTTTTGAATTGAGCAAGTGTTTCATGTACATATGTTTTAATTGCAGGGTTTAAGAGAGAAATAAAATTAGTGGTTTTGACATCCTAGAACTAAACGGTTACAAACATTTTGTAGGAAAGTTTCATTATTCAAATGAGCAATGGTTAGAATATCAAATAATAGAGTATTTAATTCTCAATGTACGATATTTAGACGATAGAACGTTTCATACATTTACAATGAATAATGTTATATTGTTATCAATATTCTATTAAAACATTAACACTTGTTATATAAATACTTAGTTAAGGATAGAGATGTCCCCACCTGATGTAAAGAAATACTTCAATACAGATAACTTGAATATTAATGATACCAAAAGAAGAGGACACATAATGCACAATTTGTTTTAATCAGAGAAAAAATTACATTGACTCAAAAGTTTTATAATAATCTGTTTCAATCTTCAATTGATGAGATTTAATTATCACGCGAGTTATCGACAAATCATGCAAAATGACCGGTTCAAAGAAAACCTGTCTAACACCTCCTGTGCAAGTTGCGTGTTTTAAATGACGTCTTACCGGAATGCATTTATAAATGAATTACGTACTCAGGATGACCTTACTTTGCCGTAATGAATAAAAAATCATACACTGGCAGAGCTTCTTAAGTAAGATATTTGGCTCTGTATCGCAAGCCGGTGTAAGATACGTATAACATTCATTATTGCTTTTAGTTGCGCCTTGTATGTAGCCATTATCGGTGTCGATTAAAAAGATTTTACAGCAAAAATGTTGTTTAGAATCTAGTGATATACAGCTTTTCTAATCTAATAGACTTTAAAGTTCCTACCATGTTATGCGTAAACTTTAAGTTGAGTGGTGGATTCAATTTATTCGACACTGGTGGTGAAATTGTCAACGAAAGAATGGGTGCATTTATAATGTTATCTGTACCGTCCGTACTGTAACAACACAACAACACAAATGTTTTAATTCAAAATATTGTTTGAAATATTCTATATATGTATCAAAACATGTATTCATAATGATAATTGTTTTTACAATATATACTGATGGTATTTGATACTGACAAGGCAAAGATAATTATTCAAAGACAACATATGAAATGGAAATCCTACTTTTAAAAATAAACAAAATGTAATCATCATACAAATGTCCATCACGATAAAACCCATTCAAGAACAACAGAATAAACAACGTTTGAATTGCATACTTTTTGAACTAATACATACGTACATTACCTACATTGCATTGAGTAAATATGTATTTTATAAAACAGAGAAATTCGTTACCATATGTTATTCGAAAACGGGTATAATCCAGTCATGTTAACTTCAAACTATGTGAATCAATCTTTTAAAATGTTCCGATATTAAATAACTAATAGGTTTTAGATATTGTATTTATAGATTAAATGAAAAATGTCATTACTAGTCATTTGTATTGTTTCGATTGTTTGGCAAGATTTTGGACAAATCTCTATACATGACGGCTGTTGTAGCGTATTGCACTGATTTATCTGAAATAGAGTAGAATATGCTGTTAAATGTCTTCAAAGTTTACAATACTTAATATTAAAAAAGAAAACATATTTCAATGAATACGTTGTCAATGTCAGCTAAAGCGGTTTATCATTATTTTGGAAAAGAAAATGTTACTAAAAGGATGTCCATCAAACACAATGCAAATATTTGATTTTATTTCACACCTTATAAAACACCTAATGTTCCCATAGAAATCACTATCGGATCCAGATTTACCAGTTAAGCCTCGTTTCCGTCATTTTCAGAGTCCATAAATATCAATATCAAATGCATATCATTTCCAATATAGCTCCGTTTTCATTTTTAGTGTTCATATCCATTTGAAATGCATATCGTACCTATATAGACTCCTTTTCATTTTCAGAGTCCAAATATCTATTTTAGTAACATATCGTGTGCCAAATATTCTCATTTTCATTTTAAGCGTCCAAAATATTTATATCAACTGGATATCGTACTCAATCTAGTCTATTTTTTATTTTGTAATAAAAAAAATCATTGTATTTTAAATAACAAAGTTCTGTCAAAATGTCAATAAAATATATCTTGAATTAAAGATGTCATTAAACATTGCTAAGAACAATACAGATTCTTTTGGACTCGCACATAGCTGAAAATTCTGTATCAGACTCGTCTCGTTACTTGTCCAAAAGTATTCAGTATTGTACTCAACAATGTTTATTAACCTCGTAATACTATTTAGAAAATAACCTTTGAAACACGTTAAGCAATTGATAGTTAACATATTAAGATATTCAGTTTATAAGTAGCCTGAAAAAAATACTTTTCAAAGCGGCTGCTTCTAAACGTAAGCTGCTCCTGGACTGTTTAAACCAGTTGGCGTTTGCATCATCTTTGACTGATACAGTTTTGTCTGGATCCGGAAATAATACACCGATGTTCGAAACCTTCGAAACCTTATGTACACCAATTGCTGTAAATGTATAAAATCAATGTTATGTGCATACTTTTGAAATGATTTTCAATAAACACAAAATCGTAATTAATATATTAAACATGATGGTTTGTGACCACAAATGGCACTGTTTAATTTACAGTTTGGATGAAAACAATGTCTTGAGTAAAATAAGAGACACATATCAGACCTATATCTTAAATATATAAGACAACAATTATTATATTTGGTCGATTTCTAACGTTTGATTAGTTAAATATAATAATATAGCCACTAGCTCTATATTTTGCATGTATTCTAAGAATATTATATGAAACAGAAATATTTCACTTGAAAACGAAATCCGACTCTCCATGCCTTTTATTCAAAATACTCGAGATGGACAATTACAAGACTGACCGACAAAGTGTTCATTCATATTTATTGATAATTATTATACTTACGAGGAGTGTTAAATTATGAATGCATCTTAGCACGTAAAATATGAATCTTCATAGGTTTCACTGATTGTTTTTGTTCCCTCAAAGTATTTTCCTCAAACAGATACAACGTATACACAGTTTCAATCTCCGGATTCAACTTTTGAGGGCATTTTCATAGTAGTTTTAGGTAAATTATGAAGACATTGGAATATTGCAGAACTGAGGAGTTTAGGATGAACACATTTTCGGCCTAAAATGTATTTTTAGCAAGTCATAAGGGGCAAAGTCAACTGAATACGAAATACAGCTGTTAAAGTGACTTATTCACTATTAAGACCAGTTCACTATTAAGACCACTTTGAGTCAGACCCGTTAGTGGTCTTAATAGAGAGAATTTACTGTATGAGCAAGCACAACGATCTGATTCTGCTTCAGAAAGCATTGCACTACAGGCGCTTTCTGCGATGACGCGTTGTCATTCATCAATCTGACATTTGCCAAACCTGTTGCGATTCTTACTTTTTGAAAGTATTTGTTTAATTTTTGTTTGAAGGACTTTTGTCATATTTTTTTTCATTAACAGATGTGCCTTGAGGAGAAACAGCAACCTGAATGACTGGGCCCTGATTTGTAAAGAAAATGGCATACACTTCCTTCCTTATACTGATGGTAGTTTTTGCAATGTATGGTATTTTGCCAGACTTTGCAGCCCAAATCTTGTTTTGGTGCTTTCGTTTTGGCTAAGTGAAATGAACTAATGTTTCGTCAACACGGACAATATGTACGAAAGATCGTACATTGTAATTTGAATACGGCTTAGCAACAACCCATCTACAGAAATGTCTTTACAAGCTATGCCAAGGAAATTACTACATTTCATGTAAAAAATTCTGGAAACAAAGTGATCCCTCGGAAGCATTAATCACAACAAAATAACATAAGAATTGCAGACTCGGTTTGATTGAGTCTGTACATGAGGGATAATGAATAAGTGTAACATGCAGAAGATTGTATTCCAAAGGCATACTCTGATCTTCTACCAAACATTTTTATTACAGTATACGAGTTGAGAATGTATAGCGAGCTTAAGTGAACGGACTGATGTGAAGCTAATATGTATATCTACCCGATAATCTTCATTTCTTTGTGTTTTTTTGTTTTCTTTTTGTTTTGCATTATTGAACAGTATAACGTTCTGGATGAATTCATATTTGAATAACAGTCACAACAATAATATATTTTGGAAACACAAAATTATCTAGCTCTACAACATTGGCTCTCATATTAATAACATACCAATATTTTTCTTTACGATTAGGGTTCCATTATCTTCGGGGCCATCCTCAATCGAATTACTCAAAACCTCAGCTAAGGAATCAATGGCCTTTAGCATTCTTGTTGATTCGTCATTGTTCTCCTAGAAAGTTGGAATTCCCTTTTCACGATTATTTTCTTTACATATTCATATAAGCCACATATACCTCAAACTAAAAAAGAACTCAAGTTACGAGAGAATTCACGAAAGAAAATAACAAAGATGATGAAAATTACGAACTTGATAATTGACTGCCAGAGATTTTGAGGAATAAAATGAAATGTCCAAAAGAGTTAACTATAGTTTCTAATCGAATAAGCTTTTTTAAAAGAAGTATTATTTTAGTGGTGTTAGACCTGTTTATGTGTTTCCGGTTTAGAGAAAACGTGGTTTAATAAATAGAATAAACAAGGAAAATCGAGAAATTATGCATTATTGATTATTTATTCCTCACAAATATCGATCCTTACGTCCATAAATTGGTAGCAGAGCGAAGTTTTCTTTGGGTTTTCATCGGCAAGACTGTATTATCGAATTAAGACATTAAGAAGCGTCAGTGTAATAGTAGTCGGACAGTAAGGTAAGACAGTCGGTTTTAACATTATGAGTGAGAAAGGGGAAAAGGGTACTTCTAGTACCGAATTAAACACGGAGGAATCAAATATCGTTGATATGCGGTTAAGAAAATCGACATTGAAGGCAAAGTTTACACGAATGAAGAATAAGTTAAAATATGAGATAGATGATAAAAATGAGAACACGTCTTTGTTGCAAGGCTATATTGACAGACTAGAAGAAGCTATGGATAATGTACATCAAGTTTTAAAAGAACTAGTGAATGAATATATAATTCAGGGTAGAACAAAAGAAATGTTAGTCACTATGTCAGAGATTGAACTTGTAGATAAGGAATATGAGAAAGTGATACAGGACTATCATAAGTTACAAGAAGAAATTAAAAGTGAAAGTCAAAGTGATCCTGTAGATGATAGTAAAAAGCAAATTGACATTGATTTATCAACGCAAATGAAAAGAGTATCAAAACCAATATTCACGGGTTCTAAGAAGGAATATGAGTTTTGGAAAGCTGCATTTACAGCTTGTATAGATAAAACCGAGGCAAGTGCTGAATATAAATTTTTACAAATGCGGCAATATCTAAGAGGGGAAGCTTTGAAGTCTATAGAAGGACTTGGTCATAGTGAAATTGCTTATGAAAAAGCAAAAGAGAGACTTGAAAGGAAATTTGGAGGAAAACGAAGAATTGTGAATAAATTCTTAGACGAGATAGAACAATTTCCACCCATAAGATATGAAAACGCTAAGAATATAGAACAATTTACAGATTTACTGGATGTAGCCATTGTCAACATTAAAGAAACAAATGCTGAAGATTTACAAAGTGGGTTCATGTATTCACAGTTGTTAAAAAAGCTCCCTGAATCAATGATTGCGAGATATCAAAGATGGATATATGAAAAAGAAGAGACAGAATCAGTAGAGATATTAAATGAATGGATACTGAAGGAAGCAGAATTCCGAACAATAGCTATGGAAACAAAATTTGGTCTTGATGGGAAGTTCGAGAAACCTAAGGATCAACGGTCGTTCTTCGGTAACAAGAGACAGTCACATAGGGAGTGTAAGCTGTGTCACATGTCACATGGAATATGGGATTGTAAAGCAATGAAGGAACTTTCAGTGAAAGATAGATGGGAGAAAGCAAAATCTTTAAAGTTATGTTTTCGTTGTCTAGGGGACAATCATTCTGGTAGAACATGCAAAAGAGTAAAAAAGTGCGGAATAAATGGTTGCTTGAAAATTCATCACAGACAGTTGCACCAGCCAGATTTAAATCCTGAAGCTGTAATGTTTAGGCCTGGTGAAAATAAACAGAACATTTTGCAAAGCCAACATAATACAAACGGTCAGACATTTACAAGTCAGGCATATACAAGTACATGTACACAAAATGTTTATGAAGCACTTCGTACAGTTCCAGTTCTGTTGTATGCCAATGGTCGAGAAATTCCAATTTATGCATTATTGGACGATGGGAGTACTAGGTCATATTTAAATGAAGATGTTGCGAAAGAATTAGGAGTAAGTTCAGAGTACGAGACTGTTAAAGTGAACACTTTGAATGGAAAATCTGTCAATCTTGATACAATGTGTGTGAACTTTCAGCTAAGCAGTTTAAATAGGGACACTAAAATTAATATGGAAGCCCATACAACACAAAAAGTAACAGGGAACTTGAGACCGGTAGACTGGACAAAGTATTGCGATCAGTGGCCGCACTTAAAAGGAATTCAATTTCCATAGGACATCGCCAGAAAGTTGATCTTTTAATTGGGATAGATTATTTAGAGCTACACAGGTCGTTGCAAGAAATTAGTGGACCGGAAGGTTCACCTTCAGCCAGATTGACTCCTTTAGGTTGGACATGTGTCGGCCCAGTACCAATGAAAGATGAGGAAATCAATTTATTTACATTTCATATGATGGACACTGTGAAGAAAGATGGTGAGATAAATGAGATTCTTAAAAAGTTTTGGGAATTGGAAGAAATTGAGGGTAAGCAGGGAACTAGCTTGAGTGTTTCTGATGAGAAAATAATAAAAATGATGAAAAGTGAAATCGTATATGATGAAGAAAGCAATAGGTACCAGGTTCCGGTGCCTTGGAAAGAAAACCAAAGTAAATTGAAAAATAACTATGAAATGGCATTTGAAAGATTAAAAAGCACAGAAAGAAAACTGAATGCAAATGCTGATCTAAAAGCTTGCTATGATGATATTATTAACAATTATGAAACGAAAGGTTATATTTCTAAACTGACTGAAAGTGATTTAAAAAATACGCAATGGACATTGCCACATTTTCCGGTTATACGTCTTGATAAGGAAACTACAAAAGTCCGGATTGTTTTTGATGCCTCAGCCAAGCATAACTCGCTGTCATTGAATGACGTGATTCATCAGGGACCGAAATTGCAAAACGATCTATTTGAAGTATTGCTCAGATTTCGAAGAAATGCTATTGCCATAATTTGTGACATTCGGGAAATGTACTTGCAAGTAGAATTATCACCTCCAGACAGACTTTATCATAGATTTCTTTGGAGAGAATCACCAAAACATCCAGTAGAGACATTTGAATTTAATAGACTTGTTTTCGGTGTTAATGCGTCGCCATTTTTAGCACAGTACGTCACCCAGCTTAATGCCAACAAATTTGAAGAGAAATATCCTCTTGCAGCAGAAACAGTCATAAATTGCACATATATGGATGATAGTATGAATTCCGTGGAAAATGAAGTAAAAGGAATTGATTTGTACAATGAATTGTCTGAACTTTGGGGAAAAGCAGGTATGTGCGCAAGAAAATGGCTGTCAAATTCCACAGAAGTATTAAATGAAATTCCTGTAGAATTGAGAGCTTCCCAGGTTAATTTGTCAGAAAGTGAATTGCCAACAGTTAAAACATTAGGCTTAATTTGGAAGTCAGATTCGGATGAATTTACATACAGCTATACAGAGTCTAGATCAGACATGAAAATAACTAAAAGAAGTGTATTAAGAAGAATTGCTGCTCTTTATGACCCTTTAGGTTTTTTAGTTCCATTCACAGTGAGGGCAAAGATGATTATGCAGAAAATTTGGCTGACAGGATTAGATTGGGACATTGAATTGCCTGAAATGTTAGCTTGTGACATAAAGCAGTGGTACAGTGAACTTAAAATATGAAAAACAAGATCAACAAGGAAAGGCGGCGTTCAATGAACGCAACCCCCATAAATACTTGTCAAATATTAAGGTTGAAAGGTGTATCCATGCATCAGAAGACACTGAACTTCATATATTTGTTGACGCATCAAGTGAAGCGTATGGATCGGTAGTGTACAACAAAAATTCAGCTTTACATAAGCCTAAAATTGTTGCTGCAAAAGGAAGAGTCGCTCCATTAAAATCATTAAGTATTCCGAGAATGGAACTTCTAGCTGCAGTACTTGGATTAACATTGACATTAACAATCTGTTCATCATTGAAAATGAACATTCACCAGTGTACATTCTGGTCCGATAGCATGAATGTTCTGTATTGGATTCATAGTCAAAGCAGGAAGTATAAGACATTTGTTGAGAATCGTGTAGGGTTCATACTTAACCTAGTCAATGGAGATACGTACCCGCAAAAGAGAATCCTGCATATCTGGCATCACGTGGAACGTCGATAACAGAATTGGCTGGAAACCCTCAGTGGTGGCATGGCCCAGACTTTCTTGAAAATACTCCGGAATTATGGCCAGAAAACAAAATGGAAATACATGATGTGGCTAAAGTAGAAATAAAAACGCAAGTCGACTTATAACAGCTATGTAACATTAAGTGAGAATAATGGCTTTAGACTTGAACCAACAAGGTACTCTGATTGGAATCGTTTAGTACGAATATCGGCTTGGGCTCATCGATTCATCGATAATTGTCAAGTTGCCAAAAAGGAACGTAGATTATCATTAGAATTGAGTGTTCAAGAAATAGAACAAGCAGAATATAAGATTATTCAAACTGCACAAGCAGAATGTTTCAGTGTTGAATATCAATGCCTTAAAAAAGGAAAAAATGTATCTTTAAGTAGTAAACTTGCACCGTTAAATCCGAAACTGGACTCTGAAGGAGTAATGAAAAGTGACACTAGATTAAAGTTTGTAGACTTCATCTCCTATGATGCTAGATTTCCTATCATTCTTCCGCGGAAGCATTGGGTGACAAAATTGATAGTTAAGAATTGTCATGAAAAAACATGCCATGGGGGCACGAATTTGACATTAGCCAAATTGTCTGGTAGATATTGGGTCATATCAGCCCGTGAAGAATAAGAAATTGGGAAAATCAATGTGCTAAATGTAAACGAAGCAAGGCGCAGGGTTCAAATCAGATTATGGGCGCATTGCCAGTTGAACGCTTTGGACAATCGATGCGAGCATTTACCAATACTGCTGTGGACTATGCCGGTCCATTCATTACAAAACAAGGCCGTGGGAAAACGAGACTTAAGTGTTACCTTTGTGTATTTACATGTTTAACAGTAAGAGCTGTACATCTTGAAATAGCTTACAGCTTGGACACAAACTCTTTTCTCAACGCTTTAAATAGATTTATCAGTCGTAGAGGTGTTCCAAGTGTTATTATATCTGATAATGGGACAAATTTTGTCGGTTGTGTTAACGAACTCAAAGATCTATACAAGAAACTTTATCAAAGTGCTATCATGAAAAGTGCTGTAAATAGAAAAATTGAGTGGAAATTCATTCCACCAAATGCACCACATTTTGGCGGATGTCATGAAGCTATGGTGAAATCGGCAAAGAAAGCGGTATATGCAATTCTGGGGAACGCGGATATCACAGATGAGGAATTAGTAACAGCAGTCGTTGGAGCTGAAAACTTGATAAACAGCAGACCTTTAACGTATCAGACATCAAACCCAAATGATGATACTGCGTTAACGCCCAATCATTTTTTGACTGGCCAGCTTGGTGGACAATTCGCTCCAGATATTATTGACAATGATCGTTATGATGTTAAAAAGCGATGGCGATATGTCCAGGAACTCCTACGCCATTTCTGGAAGCGTTGGCTTAGAGAATACTTGCCAACTCTGGGATCTCGATCTAAGTGGTTTCAAACTTCACGTGACTTCAAAGCAGACGATATTGTGTTCATAGTTGATCCAAACACACCCCGGGGACACTGGCCTCTAGGCCGAGTGACAAAAGTGTTCCACGGTCCAGATAGACATGTTCGTGTTGTAGATGTTCAAGTTGGGAGGAATGTATTTTGACGACCAATTTCGCGTTTAAGTCTTGTTGCAGAATCAAGCAAAAGTTGTTAGTAACTCATTTATGCAAAAAAAAGTAAACAGAAAAGTTTTAAAAATTAACAAAGGCATAGTGTTTAAAGGGCATAATTATCCCCAGTGACTTCTTTTAAGATTAATTTGATGAGAGGCATAGTGTTAAGGGGCATAATAATCCCCAGAGCCCTCTCATGATAAAATCTAGTTTTTCATAAATGGTACATAGAATTGGAAGAATGAAAGAACTTGAAAGATATCGCAGATTTTCAAAGACTCTAAAATACATTGATATGTTAATTAAAGAAAAATTTAGCAAGACTTTAACATTTCAGTTAAATGCTGTTTTTTGCTGTTGACTATATGTGTGTTGTAATTCTTTAAACTGCAGAAAAAGTAAATTGAATTTGTGAAAACAGTTGCTGTTAAAATATTGTTGATTAAATATAATCAATTATCAAAAATGTTTGACATTTAGTTTTTAAAGAACATACTTTTACTGCTGTTTACTGTACAAAGGGTTGAATTTATCATGTGTAGATAAAATGATGAAGACATTTTTAAATAGTGGGTTAAAATAGTTATGATTTACATGTATGTACATTTCTATACACTGTCATTCTTCATACTAAAATAATGTTGTTTCACTAAAAGTCTGATAATACTAAATTCATTTTATCTTGTTTTTTTTTTGTTTTGTTAAAATGTTAGTTAAACATTAAATATTAAGTTCGGTCTGACATATTTTTGGTTTGAAGAGTGATAGGTAGTTTTCTGTTTAATCAGCAATTCATGTTTATTTTTTTTGTGTGTTACAATTTCAAATGTGATAAGGGAAGTAATCACTGCATTATAATGTTTGTTAAAGTAAATTGGATTGTCTCCCCTTAAAAAGTATAATTATTAAAGAGACAATTGTGTAGAGATCATATACTGACTGAAGCTAAACTAAAGATGATGTGTATTTAGGTATATGTATATATTATGAGATTTAAAACTTAGGAATTATTAAGTATTGGTATAAAGTCAAATGTTACTTTATTTTGTGTAATTATGGTTACTACTGTAAATGAATGACAATTTGCAAGTATTTGAAAAAAAATAAAATAATAATAATAATAAATGATGAAAAATGAATGAGGTAACATTTTTAAAGTTAAATGGTTATTTAGATTTTTGATAGGAAATGCATAACAACATGTACATTTGTATTTTTTGTTTGTTTTCACATGGCGTTTTTTCAATTATGAGAAAAATACAATTTATTGTTAAGTATCGGTCTAGTAAAAATATCGTAAAAATTCGAGTACATTTTTAGGTACTTATCGTTATTATATAATTGTCAGATAGAATGATAATTGATCGTTAAAATTTAGTTATTATCGTTATTGATCGGTAAGACCGATCAATGTGTGGGGGTATGTCCAAAAGAGTTAACTATAGTTTCTAATCGAATAAGCTTTTTTGAAAGAAGTATTATTTTAGTGGTGTTAGACCTGTTTATGTGTTTCCGGTTTTGAGAAAACGTGGTTTAATAAATAGAATAAACAAGGAAAATCGAGAAATTATGCATTATCGATTATTTATTCCTCACAAATATCGATCCTTACGTCCATGAAATGTACTTTACCTTTTGCTTGATCAGCATTTAGTCTAATATACTTAATTTAAACGTATTATTTTAAAAAACATAAATAATTAAAGTATTTTAATTTTGAAATGAAATTACTTGTTCAATGTAATTTAGTTACGTATTTCAACTGAATTCTTCAATTTTATATAAAAAGACATAGACTCGCTCAATACATACCGACTGAGAAAGAGACTTCCAACTCTCCTGATTGGATTCATCAACAAGATTACTCGCAATTTCTAGGAGTTCCTATCGGAGAAAAACGAAAATGTATTTAACTTTGTAAGAGAAATTATCCAGTTAAACTCAACAAAACAACTAGAACTGTGTCCAAAGGAAACGTGTGCCCCCACTGACAACATATATATGGTATATAGTGAAAAATCAACAAAGGGCCATAATTCTGTTAAATTTGGTCGCACCAAAAATTCCTTCCTTTATTTCCATCTATACATTAAGGTTGTTCATCCCTGGAAGTTTAAGCAAAATCTGCCACCCGGTTTAAGAGGAGTTGCGTTCACAAAATTTCTATATGGTATATAGTGAAAAAATCAACAAAGGGCCATAATTCTGTTAAATTTGGCCGCAGCAAAAATTCCTTCCTTTACTTCTATCTATACATTAAGGTTGTTTATCCCTGGAAGTTTAAGCAAAATCTGCCATCCGGTTTAAGAGAAGTTGCGTTCACAAAATTTCTATATGGTATATAGTGAAAAAATCAACAAAGGGCCATAATTCTATTAAATTTGGCCGCAGCAAAAATTCCTTCCTTTACTACCACCTACACATTAAGGTTGTTCATCCCTGCAAGTTTGAGCAAAATCTGCAATCTGGTTTAAGAGGAAATGCGTTCACAAAATTTCTACATAGTATATAGTGAAAAAATCAACAAAAAGCCATAATTCTGTAAAATTTGGTCGCACCAAAAATTCCTTCCTTTACTACCATCTACACATTCAGGTTGTTCATCCCTGCAAGTTTAAGCAAAATCTGCTATCCGGTTTAAGAGAAGTTGCGTTCACAAAATTTCTACATAGTATATAGTGAAGAAGTCAACAAAGGGCCATAATTCTGTTAAATTTGGTGGCAGCAAAAATTCCTTCCTTTTCTGCCATCTACACGTTAAGGTTGTTCATCCCTGGAAGTTTAAACAAAATCTGCCATCCGGTTTAAGAGGAGATGCGTTCAAAAAAAAATTCTACATAGTATATAGTGAAAAAATCAACAAAAAGCCATAATTCTGTAAAATTTGGTCGCAGCAAAAATTCCTTCCTTTACTACCATCTACACATTAAGGTTGTTCATCCCTGCAAGTTTAAGCAAAATCTGCTATCCGGTTTAAGAGAAGTTGCGTTCACAAAATATCTACATAGTATATGGTGAAAAAATCAACAAAGGGACATAATTCTGTTAAATTTGGTCGCAGCAAAAATTCCTTCCTTTACTACCATCTACACATTAAGGTTGTTCATCGCTGGAAGTTAAAGCAAAATCTGCCATCCGGTTTAAGAGGAGTTGTGAACATTTCGGGACGTACGGACGGACGGACTGACTGACGGACGGACGGACGGACAAGTGCAACTCTATATGCTCCCACTTTGTTGGGGCATAATAATGTTTTAGCAAGTGGAAATAGAGTAAAACCAATCTTATTATAACTTTATAATTGCTTTATAAAAAAACAATAGTCAGGTAAGTATTTTTTAAAAATCCTGAAGCTGAATACTTTTAGTTCCATACTATATTGAATACTTTTATCCACATAAATATTAAAATTTCTAATTTCAGTAGTGAATCAAATCTGTTGATGTATGCTTAGGAAAGCTCTCCTTTTCATAAAAGGTGTTCTTATTTAAATGTCTTGAATGTGTTATAATGAGATCTTTTATGCTACTGATACTAAATTTAACAAAAATAGTTAGCATATCATACATCAGTAATGTTTTCATTTATGATTCCAGAAGATGTTGCCAACACATTCGCTACTGTCTCCAGCGATGAAGATAGAACACTTAATTCTCCATCAGTTAAAGTATTGTTGTTATCAGTTGTTTCATTTACTGCTGTCACTTTTAAAATGTCCACCAAGACAGTATCAACTTCATCCCCGGTTGCATTTTTACTCAGCGTTGATACCTAAGTGTACACAATTACTAATTTATTTTGTATAGAGTTTTTAGGTAGTGGAGAAAAAATCTTTAAACTTGTTTATCTGTACATCGTATAGTAAGGCATTACTTCAATAAATAAAACACATTATTTTAGTGACAGAATAAATGTAAATAGTCTTTAATCTTTATAAAGTAAAAACGCCATCAGAACAAAAATGGAAGAAATTATCAACAAACAAAATTATCAACTGTTTGTTAGGTTAGTTGTTGTTGTTGTTTTTGTCACTTACAGTTTTTCATTTAACTAGAATAAAATTTTATTGAAACACTTACCGTTTCATTAACTTTTATTATCGATTCACGAACGCAATCATATTGTGGCAAGTTCCACACTCCTCCGGCACCACATGTCCTAGATATTGAACCTTAAATGTTGTTATAGAAATGTATATATAATGAATCATTAATCCATCGACAATATTTTGGATGTTTAGGCAATTATATAAAATAAATTATTAATCAGCTAAATTTTTTAAATCAGTTAATTTATTTATTATGACAAAATAAATTTGGATGGATTTTAAACTTTAGAAAATAATAAAAATCGGGACAATAATGGAAGAAAGAATTAAACAAAATAAATCAACTGTTATTGCCACAAACAGGAACTTTGGATAGTTTTAATGATATAAAATACTTGTTTCAGTAAAAGGGATTAACTGTAAAATATACATATTGTAAAACGCCTTATTAAAAGAAACTAGGTTGTGTTATTTTTAAAATAATCAAGTCTGATCAATAAGAGTTTACAATCCATGCTTACAAGTATTACTGATACCTGAAAATCCGTTTCGGCAACGTTTATCCCTAGTATTTCCAGATATTGTTTCTGGCCAAGTAAGTCCTCTACTGTCTACATTCTCCTTACAAGTTTTAGGTGTTTGTACTTCTACAGGATCATGAAGGGATTATCATAACTAAATTCGTGTAAGATGTATTCAAGTAATAAAGTCCATCTAAGAATAACGAAAGCGGATGATTAACGTTCTAGAGCGTATGCAATCTCAGACTGTAATGTTTCTAAATGAATTTTATCACGTTTTTCTCAGTCAAATTTGTCAAAATATAAATGATGGTTGCCAAATTGATTTGATATTTACTATGTCAACGTTACTGTCTCGAAAATTTGGCAATTCGTTAAGTCTTTTATTCTTTACCGTTACATACTAATTCGAAACTATTTCTATCAAAGTCATTACAATCGAAAAAACTAGTACTCAATCCTTGGCGTCAAATTGAACATAAAAACATATTTTCTACAATATTAATGGTCCATAAAAGAAATCGTTTGCGGGAGCTAGCTAAACTTGATATCAATAATATACAATGTATCTCATAAAAATGCTTAAAATGCCAGACTAGTCTGATGAAAATATTCCTGTATAAGAATTTATAAATAAAAATAAGAAACAATTGATAAGATTGATATTAGAAGAATTGTCTAAAGATAAATATGCAGGGAAATTGGACGGAATGAGAATCTTGTGCTTGTGAAGAGACATGTGTATGCCCCCAAAGTAAAGATGGAAAAGTAGAAGTTATACCAGATCTACATACATCTCGGGAGGAGGCCGATACCAGAATTATGCTACATATGCAACATGCGGCTAAAATGATGACAAAGCAATAATTGTACGATCTCCTGATACTTATATTATGGTTTTACTTCTAACGTAAGCACAGTCTATCAACATTTTAATTTTATTTGACCTTGGTGTGGCTAATAATAGAAGACTGTTCGAAGTAAATAAAATCGTTGATAGATTAGGATAAGATCTTTGCAAAGCATTGATTGGGCTACTTAGTATCACCGGATGTGATACCACGAGCCCTTTTTATGAGGAGAGGGAAATTAAAGCCGTAAAAACTTTTTTTAAATATCCTGAATATATACTTATAACCAGTTTTCAAGAGAATGGGCAAAAGTGTTGATATTCAAGAAGAAGATTTCAAAATTCTAGAACAGTTTGTTTGCATTTTATACAGGAAAGACAAAGAAGTGACATAAATAAGTTGCGCGTTGACATTTTCAGACAAAAGTTTAGACCAAATGCAGACATACTTACCATAACCTATGTTATTGACTTGCGTTCAATACCACCATATCTTTCCACATTCAAGATGCATATTTTTAGATCAAATTACCAAGTATTTGTGTGGTGAAATGCCTTTCGTCAATTCCCAGCTATTCCAAGTCCTGATAGATATGGGTGGAATATTGGTACAACCAGAGGTCTCTTATATACATTGTACCTGGACAGAGGGAAATATACTACCACCAGAATTAATTGAAATCATAGCTAATAAAAATGCTAGTGAAGTGTTACAATATGAGTAAAATGAAGGTGATCTAGAGGAAATTGAAATTTATATGGATGTCATTTTCAAAGAAGATTTCGAGTAATAATTAATATGTGACTAAAAGCTATTAGTGAAACATTGGAAAGGGGGGGGGGGTAAGTTATATTCTAAAATAGCATTATCATTAAACCAATTTGAACAACAAAAAGTCTTTTTAACTTCTATAATATTTATACAAACACATTTTTTATAATTAAGTGATGTTTTGCTTTCTTTCAAACAAAACCACAAAGTTTATATTAAAATGTTAATAAAATAACAGGACAATGGTGGCCATTTTGAATTTGGCGGCCATTTTGAAAAGTAAAAACATCAATTGATTATGAAGTTAATCATTTAAGAGACATTTCTATGATCTAAAACTAAAAAAAAATCGACCACATAACAATTCATTTGGTTAAAAGATTAATGGTTATTTCAATTAGACTGTTTATTAAGAAATTGTGACAGGGGCAGATAATTCACATTGGCTGTGTCTTATTGGTAAATGTTTCAGTCAGACAGCAACGTGCAAATGTCTTCCTATATGTTTGTCTTTAAAACTACATGGGTCCTATCAAATACCCAGAGGGGGTAAACTTTTCCATTTCTAGCTCATACTCTATATGTCTATTTCTTAAAAGAAAGATAATAATACAAATTAAAAACATGCCCTCACATGGAACATTCGTATATAGACTTTAAAACAATATATACTATCGTGAATACGAATGATAAATAAATTTAATAAAAATATACATTAAATAAAAGTACCTTTCATGCATGTCGGGGCAGTGGAAGACCATGATCCTGTTGATAAACAAAGACGAGTTTCTCTGCCATTTAAAATATATCCTTCGTCACAACCGTAAACTGCTTCTTTGTCAAAAGTCGTTCCTTTGGGAGTTGAGACATTACCGTTTGATGGATTACTGAGAATACCACAATCTGTAATACAAAATTACATCATCTCAATAACTTTTAACCAATTAGTTATGAATAACAATTTTTGAACGTTAACAACTAAAATGGAAAATGAACATAGGTATAAATGTTAAATAATATAACCTTTAATAGAGCAAGTTGGTGCTGATGAGCTCCAAGAACCATTATATAAACACGTGATTGTATTGGCACCATTAATATTGTATCCAATATTACATCTGAAAGTTGCTGTTGCTTTGTACTTAGTGCCAGCAGAGTTGTCAATCTCACCATTTCCAAGGGAACCCAATCCTCCACAATCTGAAAATGATTTACACATGTGACAAGCTTATTTGTATTTTCAAATTATTTTCTTTGCTAAATTGAATATTAAGTACACAAAAAAGACTTTCTGAATAAAGTTAGTCAAAATTTAATGGCGGCACCGTTTTCTTCCAGATATCTTTGTAAATCATTTAAGTATAGAGAGAGAGTATAGAGGATCGGACTTGAATTCTCGCCTTGACGGACTCCTATTTCGACGGACAAAATAAAAGAGAGTGATTACCTTTATGCTTTACCAAAGATTTGATATTTTGGTACATGGTACAAATTGTTTGTCAATAAAGTTTTGCGTAAATTTTTGCCAGTGGCCGAATCGCCAAATTCTATCAAAACATTGTGAGAAATCTACATAAGCACAATAAACCTTTTGTTTTCTTTTCCTTAAGATCTCAATAAGTGCGTAGAGCGTAAACATGTGATCAGAACATGAATATGCTTGATTTTCATTAAGTAAATACGTATTTTAAATATAATTGGTTAGTCTTAAGTTTAAGACTGCTGTAAAAAGTTTTCCTAGACATAATATAATTGTAATTTGTTTGTAAAAACTAGTGTCTAGAGAATTTTCTTTGTTTATTTTAATTGGAAAAATGAACCCCACAAGCCAGGATTTGCAATTTAATAGTGAGTTGAAGAGTTTATTGTAGATAGGTAATTAATGTGCCCACCTAATATATAATGAGCAGGCTAGACGCTTTTCCATTATTTAAATTTCTAATATGTATTAACATTTCAGGTCTCACAATGTTTTGATAGAATTTGGCGATTCGGACACTGGCAAAATTTATGCAAAACTTTTATGATGGAACATTATTCGAGCAATTTGTACCATGTACCAAAATATCAAATCTTTTGTAAAGCATAAAGGTAATCACTCTCATTTTTTGTCCGCCGAAATAGGAGTCCGTCAATGCGAGAATTTAAATCCGATCCTCTTTTCTCTATACTTAAATGATCACCAAAGATATCTGGAGGGAAACGGTGCCGCCGGAATCGTTCTAGATGTACCTTTGCTCAAACTTTTAATCATTCTTTACGCTGACGACACCGTGATAGTCTCGGATAATTCTGTCGATTTTCAAGTTTAAATTACTTTAACTCGTATTGTATTCAATGGGAATTAACAGTTTATCCAAATAAAACAAAGGTAATAGTATTCTGAGTTAGAAATACAAAATACATATCATTTTAATCTAGGCGAATATAAAACTTGAAATAACTGACAATTACCACTATCTAGGTTTGACATTTTCTATGTCCGGTTCATTTCTTAAAGCTAGGCAACATATAAGCCAACGGGCAAATAAAGCAATGCATATTCTTTTAACAAAAACAAATAAAGCAGACCTACCCCCTGATTTGATAAAAATGTTTTTGTTTAATAAAGCACAGTTATGCCTTGTACTACTACAAGTTATCTATAAGCCAGAAAGTCCCGTCTGCACCGACAATCAGTATAAGGGTAACTGTGAAGCTGAGACTCGCTTTCGCCGTGAAAAGCTACCCTCGAGTCTCTATCGGTTATGTATGGTTATTACATGTATAAAGTGATATGATTAAATGAAATCATTAATTAATAGTTATTCTCTTGTCTAAAGTAAACATTGCTTGGCACAATTCCTTCATATAAACGACTTTTATTGCCATGTTTGATACATGGGTGATTATAAATAATTGAGGAGTCACACGACTGAAGGTTAGCAATCATAAAATGTTACAAATCTTAGTAAGCAGCCTGAAACAAATCCCGTCACACCTTATAAGCAGTATAAAACATTGGTGACATACACAACTTCCGGGTTAAAATTCATTTAATTTTTGTATAAATAACGCATCTTGAATTATTGAAATAAAGTTTGTTTACTATATCATGTTTTAAAAGAATTGATAACCTACCTCTCAAAGTACAGTTAGCAACTTCCCATTGTCCTGCATCTAAGCATGTAATACTGGCGGTATTTTCCGTGTATCCATCAGTACAAGACACTGTTGCTATGCTACCGACAGTGATGCTTGCAGAATCATCAAGGTTCAAGTTGCCATTAGTTATAGCTGGTAAATTCCCACAGTCTATAAATTTGTTTTAGAATTCAGAAGTACAACAATTGCTATTAAATTATTAAAAACAAGTAACACTACTTTGTAAAAAAAACACTTTAAAATGTATAAATTTATTTGGTCATTCTCGTAAGAAAACCAACAATGCAAAGTTCGATTTTCGATATTTCGAAATATTTTTTTCTAGCTTTTCCGGGTTTCAAGTTGAATGTAGGAACAGGGTCGTCAAAAAATTAAGTTTGGAAATTGAAATCGTTATTAAGATTAACAAGCGGTTGGTTTTTGCCAAAACTACTGACACAAGACAATAATTAGTGAAGGGCAACTTTTAATCTATAAAATTTATTATTAAAATTATTTATTATTTTCAACATTCAGTCCAACAATGCTATATAACTAAACATTTACCTCGTGTACAAACAGGTAAGAGATATGTCCAGCCTCCTTTTTGACACAACCCTACATCAGGCCCTGACATAGTATATCCGTCAGGACAACTATAATATACAAGATCTCCTTGCCAACCGTCATCAAATTTATAGGTTAAATTTATTCCATTTACTTCAAAAACTGGCGGATCTCCACAATCTGAAACAAAATGTGATGTAAACATTGTACAACCATATAAATGCTGTATTTTATTCCAGGTTCATAGGCAACCGTATAAATGCTATATCTTCTTTGAGGTAGACATTGCACAACCATACAAATGCTTTTTTATCTGTGAGGTACACAGCTCAGCCATAAAATGCCTTATTTTCAGTGAGGTACCCAGTACAACCATATAAATGCTATGTTTTCTGTGAGGTACCTAGCACAATCATATAAATGCTATATGTTTTGTAAGGTACACATTGTACAGCCATTAAAATGCTATATCTGCGGTGAGGTAAACATTGTACAACCATATAAATGCTATATTTTCCGTGAGGTTCACAGTGCAATCATATGAGGTATACAGTACAACCATGCTGTATTTTTCGTGAGGAAAACATTGTACAACCACATTATTGCTGTATTTTCCATGAGGTAAACATTGTACAACCACATAAATGCTGTATTTTCCGTGAAGTAAACATTGTACAACCATATATGCTGTATTTTCTGTAAGGTAAATCTTGTACAACCATAGACATGCTGTATTTTCCGTTAGGAAGACATTGTACAGCCATATAAATGGTGTACTTTCTGTGAGGTAAACATTGTACAACAATATAAATGCTGTATGTTGCGTGAGGTAAACATTGTACAACCATATAAATGCTGTATTTTCCGTGAGGTAAACATTGTTCAACCATATAAATGCTGTATTTTCCGTGAGGTTAACATTGTACAACCAAAGAAATGCTGTATTTTCCATGAGGTAAACACAGTACAACCATATAAATGCTGTATTTTCCGTGAGTTTAACACAGTACAACCATATAAACGCTTTTTTTTCCGTGAGGTAAACATTGTACAACCATATAAACGCTGTATTTTCTGTGAGGTTAACATTGTTCAACCATAGAAATACTGTTTTCTCCGTGAGGTAAACATTGTACAACCATATAAATGCTGTATTTTCTGTGAGGTTAACATTGTTCAACCATAGAAATGCTGTTTTCTCCGTGGGGTAAACATTGTACAACCATATAAATGCTGTTTTTTCCGTGAGGTTAACATTGTACAACCATAGAAATGCTATATTTTCCATGAGGTAAACACAGTACAACCATATAAATGTTGTATTTTCCGTGAGTTTAACACAGTACAACCATATAAACGCTTTTTTTCTGTGAGGTTAACATTGTTCAACCATAGAAATGCTGTATTCTCAGTTAGGTGAACATTGTACAACCATATAAATGCTGTTTTTTCTGTAAGGTATACAGTGTCACAAAGTGAAAGTACGTTTGTAAAATATTGCATTATATTTTCACGCCGAACCTCATTTTTACTCTATATTCATTGATGTGAGATTGCATCATCTTTTGTCCAATTTAGAGTTTTCGGGTGAAATTATTATTTAGAGTATTTTTATGGTTTGCATAAATTTTCATGTCTCAATTTAAACATTTTGCCGTTTATTTCACAAAAATCCTTTCAGTAATAAGAAAGTTACATTTTTGTTTTATGAACCAGATACAGTCGAGACTGTCATATGTGACTTTCCAAGGGATCTTCAGAAAAAGGTCACATATGACAGGGAGTCTCTTAATACAGTCTCAAAGAAAATTAATTTTAAATATCATCTATCTGTCTCTATACCATTGTGACTTAAACATCCTGTTTGTTTTGTGATTGTGCATGACACTTACAATATATATATATATATATATATATATATATATATATATATATATATATATATATATATATATATATATATATATATATATATATATATATGGATATAATTATGCAAATAAAACAATTTTCCAACATCAAAGAATATGTAAAATGTGAACTGCAAATATTTGTGCACATTATATTTAATCAATAAATTACATGCATTGATTTCTTATTGGAAAATTTGACTTAGAATTTATAGAAAATAAAGTTCTAATTACCTCCCTTTAATAGCCTTTATTTACATGAAATGTTAAATTGGGTGATATCTTTATAAATCATGCTTATTTGAACTTACAATATTGACAAATCTTAATTTGAGCATCATATTTATGAAATAAAACCTTGAAAAAATTGTGTTACATATCCAGAGCTTTTTCTGGTTTGGTATCAATATTTTTTCCGTATTAATTATGCAGCCATAAAAAGGTAAATTAAAAATAAGCTGCCTAAAAAATCTTCCGTGGGCACTCTATAATTAAAAAAAAATAATCTAACACAAGTCTTAACCCAGTTTACTCTGGCCATCATGTACATTACACACACGTCGATTGCATCATGCTTCCCATGAACAGACACTACGTCACTTGATACCTGCATGTATACTGTGTAATTGAGATAGAGGTGTGTAGACTTTGTTTGCTACTGGATTATAATTGGACTTAATTATTTTGGCCCTCTGGGTGTTATAATAGGTATTATTTATCTGATTAACGGACAATTAAAAGGTGTGAAAGTCGTTTAAATCAGACCGAACTTTTGCATTGGGACCAGACAATAAGGGTCGCTTGTCACATATGACAGGGAGTCGTTTAATTCAGACCATTTATATAGGAAAATACGTTGGGAGTACTGAAACAAGGTCGGATAAGACAGGGAGTCGTTTAAATCAGGGGGTCGCTTAGGCAGTCTCGACTGTATATGTATTATGTCTGTATTTGTAGGACGGGCCTTTATTTTACATAACTATTTTTCCCGCCGTCAAAGCTTTATTTCGTGCAAATCGATTTTTCATGTTTTGCACGATCTGTTTTCCCGCTCAGTACTCAGTAGTTTGCTATATAATGACTAAATTTTAAGTGATATATTGCAATGCACTGGACGTTATACAGGTCACTATGACAGTGACAGACAAATTATATTTGTCATAAAATTACAGCTTGTACAAGGTAAATTTAATTTGCTAGTGATTTTGTTTCATAAATTTTTGCTATTTCGTAAAATACTATTTTCTATTAGAATTATAGTTTATTTGATTCAGGTTTAGTTATTTGGCAGTAATTTATTGTTTTCTAAATTTTCTAAATTTTTGCAAATTAAATTTTAAAAGCTCTTTTTATTCTAGTGTTTCGCTATTGCAAATTTATACCGAGACATGTTAATTGATGTATGTTAATTGAAGTTTTAATTATATTGTAATTGTATAGGAGCTATGAATATTTTATAGATATATATATATATATATATCTATTCATAAATAATTTATTATGGTTCTACCGTATTTGTGTAACCTTATGTAAAATGCTGCAGTATCAATTTAATTTACGTAAATTCAACGTATCAAAACTAACGTATCTCTAGAGAAGGATCTTCAGTGGCATGATTTTGGAAGACGTTTATTTATTGGTGGTTATTATGTGGCGTATATTTGAATATATTTGCAACGCAGTATAATGCGGATGTGATTGAAAATTTTGTTCCACGGAATGTATGGTGTACTATAGTGGACATTTTGTTTATTCAAAGAAGCACGTTATTTTATTGGAAACCGACAAAGGTCGATTCTTTTCCAAGGGACTTTATTATACCCTTATGTTCGATTATCATGGAACTTATCATGTTTATACTTTGTAGCTTCTTATTTGAGGACGCACCCGAAGATGACACGGGCCCTCCACACGTATGTCCATGGCTAAAGGGTGACGTATGCCCTTGTTCAGGATCCGATCAACTGTGCCAACACTGTAGGAAGTACAGTTTCGCTTGATAAGATTTTATACAAGACGCCCGCCATTGTGACGAATTTTGTTCAACAACGCCACCACTTTATTGAAACATCATGACAGAAACTTTACGGGAGAAATAGACTAAGATACGTTGATAGTGTTTGTTTGCGCAGTGACTTTTCATATATAATCATTTTTCATTTATAAATATTCATTTCTTGTAAATAAATTTGTATATATTTTTCTGTTCTGAGTTGTTGGTTGTTTTAGATAGCAATTGTGGTCGGCCTGGTATCCCAGCGTAGTCCCTATTGTGACATTTGGTGACCTCGACGTGATTGGATACCGGTTGACTAGAGTTGTTATTTGAAACAAACCACACTCATTTTACTGCAGCTAGGTTATATAGCTAACACTAGAAACTTTGGTTTTTATTTTAAATAAAAAGTTTTATTTACAATTAAAAGTTAAATTTAGTTTACTTAAAGGTAGTTAAATTTTGTATCACTTTTAATTATAATTATTTTTTTTATATTTAGTGTGATTATAATTTCTTAACATTTTCAGATTGATACCGTGACAAATGAAACGGACTTGTGTGTGTGACAGCTATCCAGCTGAGAGGTTATAACAGCCACACAGACCCGACAGTGGACGTTTGGACGTTTAGGGTGAGTTCGTTCCATTTTCCTCCTTTTAGGTGTCGCTTTATGATGAGACCACCAGTTTTGTAATCTGAAAGTGACCTTTCGGTAAAACACCGGAAGTACACATATACACACATACACACTGCAATTTAAGGTACTAACCGCCTTGTGTACATTTTCTAGATAAAGAAACTGTGTCTGTTTTCTAGGTGAACATTTAATTTATTGTGTCATTTACAATTTTACTTTGTGTTTACTTTGTGTCTGTAGTATATTGAAACTGGCCATATACCTTTTATATTTTTGCACTGTGGGGTAAAGTGCTACGCGACATTGAGTTTTGGGTCGTAGTTTGGACTTTGAAGTTTAAAGTATTTTGAACAGTTTCAATTATTGCCTACTGTCTACTGTACACTTAAGATTATTATTATACAACTTTAGTGAGATACTTAGATGAGTTTGAAACTTAGTGTTTGTAGTGGTGAGGTATAGTGTTTAGAATATATGATACATTGTTTATTTTAGTACTGTGTACAGTGAAGGTACATTTTGATTATAGCGCTAGAGTGATAAATGCGTTTTATTATATGGTGTTAAACTGAAGTGTAGTGTTATAGTGCACCGTGATTAGTGAATATAGCGTTTTGTGTTTAAGGGTTGTAGT